CCCGCGCGCGCGCGCCCGCGCTGCCGAGCGGGCGTGCCTTCCGCCAGGCCGCGCCCGCTCTCGCCGGGGGGCGCCGTGGCCGGCTTGATGCGGAGGGCCGTGGGGAGCGCGGAGGGGGGAGGAGCCAAGGGCGGAGTGCTTTGAGCACACCCTGCGCCCTTTGATCTTCGGCTTCTCTAAGAGGAGGAGGAGGAGGAGGAGGAGGAGGAGGAGGAGGAGGAGGAGGAGGAGGAGGAGGAGGAGGAGGAGGAGGAGGAGGAGGAGGATGGAGGAGGGAGGAGGAGGAAGGAGGAGGAGGAGGAGGGGAGGAGGAGGAGGAGGAGGAGGAGGAGGAGAGAGAGGAGGAGAGGAGGAGGAGGAGGAGGAGGAGGAGGAGGAGGAGGAGGAGGAGGAGGAGGAGGAGGAGGAGGAGGAGGAGGAGGAGGAGGAGGAGGAGGAGGAGGAGGAGGAGGAGGAGGAGGAGGGGGGGAAGAGGAAGAGGAGTGGGAGGAGGAGGTGGACGAGGGACGAGGAGGAAGACTGAGGGGGAGGTTCCAGGGTCGAGCAGCGCGAGGCAAGGCGAGGATCGAGGATTCAGGACGTTCTGGGATCTTCCCCAGACAGTGCTTGCACTCAGGGATTCTCCGTTCTTCTCCAACCAGTGCACTTCGGGGATCTGGCTGGTTTCTTGAAGAACTGGGCCCGGCTGGCGGTCGGGCGGTTCCGTGCTTGCCGTCGCCGCCCCGCCGCCGCCGCGTCGCCGCCGCGTCGTCGGGGCCTGGCTGGCGGTCTGGCGGTTCTGTGCTCGCCGCCGCCGCCTCGTGGCCGCCTCCTCGCTGCCCTGCCGCCACACGAACTTGCACAACATACGTTGCACCGCATATTTTCTCCGACCCAAAAGAACGGATCTCCCCCCCCTCCCCCTGGGTTTGTCGGTTCCCCCGGCGATCTAACAACTTACCATCGATGCTGCCATGGATGCAAACGAACCCTGGTGGGACGTCTACTGGTTCCCCCCTACACCCCTGACAACTGATACTGTGCGCGCGCGCTCGTTTATCACCAACCAAACGCGCTGAACCACCAACACCTCGCAGCAAGTATGGCATTGCACATGCGCGCGTCGTCGCTCGCGCATGCCAGAATAGTTGAGCAACTTCATTCAGGTTTCGTACGGATGCCAAGGTCGAGGTCCCCGAAGACGTTCTCAGAACAAATGGTACGGCGCTTCTGAAAAAAAAGTGTTCGCACGTTCTTGCTAATTTTCCCGAACCACCATTGGCCTCGCGCGCGCATGTCGGAAACATTCGAACGCCCTTTTTGCGCGTGAAGGGGGAGACGATCCTTGCCGAATCACAGAATGCAGGCCAACCGTGTGCGTCAGCAACGCGCGCATATCATCGCAAACACATGGACACCATGACCCTCACAGACGTGATCAGCATCGGCGCCGTCATTGGCATTACCGACGTCAATACCACCATCGTCACCAACATCGCTACTATCATGATCGTGTCTGCCTTTGTCGACGTCGCCATGCTACCGCGCGCGCCTGAATCACTGACTCGCGCTGAAGTGGCTGCAAATCAGCGCGGCCTGCGAGACGCGCTGGGATGAACCCAGCAGTCAACGACACCGCGGCCGCGTCTGTCGCCTCAGACTAGCGGGCCGCTGTTCGCGCGAACGTGCGCGCGTAAGCGCGCCCACAAGGATGCACCAGCCAGCGCCAAGCAGTCTCCGCAATCGCCGCCGCAGGGATTCTGACAACCAAATTGCGGGTGGGTGGGTGGGATGATTGCACGAGCAATGGACATGACAATTTCAAGCTCGGCGGTGTGAGTTGCGCCGCGTGGGTTCAAACATTTAAACAAAAGTGCGGATCTACAACACCCTCCCCGGAACTACCGGCACCCCCTGGGTCACTACACTTTGTGCACGATTCTGGTCCGTTGCTGAATTTTCAATGAGTCCAAACCATCCAAAGGGAGGGCCTTATCCCCCCCTCTCATCCATGCTATGTGCGCGCACACGTTTGCCAAGTCCCATGCCCCAGACATGGCACAATCCACATGCGCGCGTCGTCGCGCGCGCACGCCGGACTTGCTCAAAAACCTTCTGGTTCGTAAAGACTGCAAGACCGGGGTTCTCGTCAACACTCTTAACTAAAAATTGTTTTGGAGAAATTCTCGGGAAACAAAATGCGCGCGCGCACATACGTAATATCATGGGAACATGTTCCGCAAATTCGGCCAAGCGGGCTTCTCGCGCGCGCATGTCGAAATCATTCGAACACTTTTTGCGTGCCTCCTGGGAAGGTACGATCCCTGTCGAGCAATACCGTGCGGGCCACTCGCGCCAGTCAACCGTGCACGCGCGTCGAAACCTTTGCAAGCCTTCATCGGTGACGCGCGGGCACCACCCTCGCCGTCGGCATGATCAGCTTCGGCGCCGTTATCGGCCCTGCCGTCGTCAATATCGTCACCAACATCGCTACTATTATGAGCGTGTCTGGCGTTGCCGACGTCGCCATGCTACCGCGCGCACCCGCGCCACCGACTCAAATTGAAGTACCCGCGCGTGAGTGCGGTTTGCGGGGCGCGCTGGGGCGTGTCCATAGGTCAGCCACCACCGCAGCCGCGTCTGTCGCGCCAGACTAACTGGCCGCCCTGCGCGCGAGCCTGCGCGCGCTGACGCGGCCGCACCGATGCGAAAGCCAGCGCCGCGCAGTCGTCGCAGTCACGGCCGCTTGGGTTTTGCAAACCAAGTTGCGGGTGGGCGGGCGGACGAGCGATTGTGCGAGCAAGGAGTTGACGACCCATTGCCAACAAAAGCTTATAGCACCACATCGGCTAGACCGCACTGACTGCAAAACATGGATTGCGCCGCATTGGTTGTTTTATAAAAAGAAACTCTGGTCTACCCCCCTCCCCAAAGAAAAAAACAACACACACACACACGCACCCCCGCCCCCACACTTCGGAAGCATCGCCCCCATAGGAGACTGGAGTTCATGACATATTCTGCCCCTCCGATACTTTTGACTCAGAGTTCATGCCGTCTGGGGGGGTTCGCTCTCGCAAACGCCCTCTTCCCTGTCCGATCAGGTAACACTATGCGCGCGCACTCGTTTAACACAAACCATAATCGAGTTTCTGAGGGCTCGCGTGGGGCCTGAGGTTCAACAATCCTTCTCAGGATGGAATGATCAGGGTTAATTGCTGAGGATCAACTTTCTGAGCCAAGATTTTCCGAGACAGCGCCTCTGAGGCATAAGTACTAGTAGTAGTCGTTGTAGTCGTAGTCGCAATTGTAGTCGTAGCTGTGGCCGTCGGTGTTGCGCGGCGGGTGCCGCGGGAAACAAATAATGAATTGTTTTCGTATTGGTGGGGCAGAAGTCCGTGAACAAGGCCGCCGAGAAGTTGATTGGTTGGCCCATATTTGGGGGTGGGGTTCTAACCACCTTTCGCAGGTGACCTGCGGGAGCATGCGGGCGGCGACGAGATCCATACACATCCCGCCGCCCCTGGACAGGTCCCTGCTGAGCCAGGAACGGTGCACGTGCCCCGCTGGCGTAGGCCAGGGAGGCATGTGCAGCCACAACGGGCCCAAGAGAAGCCTGGCGCTGGACCACATCGAAGCGGAAGAAGGGGCCAGGACGAAGGGGAGACGGCCAGGCCAGGAAGAGGAGGAGGAGGAGGGGGTAGAAGGATGCGGCGGCGGACGAGGCGGAAACAATATGCGGCGGCGGACGAGGCGGAAACAATACCTCCGCCGCAGAGGCCTCCGACGGAGGCCATTTGCGGCGGGCGCCGACGGAGGCCTCCGTGGACGAGCCCTGCGGGCCGCCGCTGCGTGGGCGGCGGGCGCCCGTCGCGACCTGCAGCGCTCCCCACCGCGAAGCGAATTGGGCACGGGGCGACCCCGCCGCCAGAAGTTTTGCGTGGCCTGGGCGGGTCCCAGGGCCCAACGGCGCCCCAAGCCGGGGATCTGCACTGACCCAGTCGGGCCTTTGCAGGACCCGGCAAGAGCCTTCAGGATGCCGCAGGATACCCTCCACGCAAGCCCGGGTCCACGACGCACCCCTGGCTCTGTAGGATCCTACAAGATCCGGCGCTCTGGCTGACCCCCGTTTGCAGTGGCCCCCGCCACTGGAGCCCCGACGAAGGGCACGCTCTCCGCTGCGCGACGGGCCGGCAACACGGCGCGGCTCCTGTGGCGGCGGGCGGCGCGGGGGCCTTCCCGCGATCCCTCGCGCGGGAAGCCCCGCGGAGGGGGCGCCTGCGGCGGCCCTCCGGGCGGCCTCGGCGTGGGCCCATCTGGCCCTCTCCGCGCGTGTTGGCCGGCTTGTTCTCCTGCGGCCGTGGAGGGGGTGGGGGGTCGGCGGGCGGCGGGCGGCCGCGGCGACGGCGACGGCGGTGACGGTGGCGGCGGTGGCGGTGGCCGCGGCGGCGGCGCAGACGATGGCGGCAGCGGCGGCGGCGGCCCGCTGCGGCGTCGACGGTTCGGCGAAGGGGGGAGAGGAGGTTGCCTGCAGGCTCGCTCTTGGACGGCCCCGGGGGCCCGAAGAGCCTCCCCCCCAAGGGAGGCCAGCCACGGCAGAAGACCTTCCCATGTTGACTTTTGCTGAGGACTTGGCGGCGACTGGCCGCCCGGCCAGCCCTGCGAGTTCGAACGCACCCCCCCCCCTCAGAGCATGCGCGCGCGGGATCCCCCCCACGACGACCACGGCGACGACGACCACGGCTGCGACGACCACGGCGGCGACGACGACGGCGGCGACGATGACGACAACTACGGCGGCGACGGCCCCGGCGGGGGCGGTGACCCCGGCGCTCACGGCGGCGACCGTGGCGACGGCCACGGCGACGGCCTCGGCGCCGACGACCACGGCGACGACGGCGACGGCCACGGCCGCGGCGGCGGCGACGACCGCGGCGGCGGCGGCGGCCGCCACGGCCGCCGGCGGCGGCGGCCACGCCGACGCCGCGCAGGTCCTGCGCCCTCGAGGCCGCCGCGCCGCTTCAGACACCCGGGGGCCGGCCGCCCTGCCGGCGCCGCCAGCCGGGGGCAGGCGCCCCGCCGGGCGCGGCGCCTGGCCGCGGTCTGCGGGGCTGCTGCCTGCTGCCTGCTGCCTGCTGAGCGCCTGCCTGTGCTTGCGCCTGCTGACTGCTGGTCGTCGTGTCGTCGTGTAGTCGTCGTCGTGGTCGTCGTCGTCGGCTAGAGGCGGTCGGGTCGAGCGTCGGCCGGTTTCCATCGTTTCGTCGTCGTGTCGTCGTCGTCTTCGTTCGTCGGCTCGTCGTCGTCGCGGCTTCGGGCGTTCGGCGTCGGCAGTCGGCGTCGCGTTCGGCGTCGGCGGTCGGAGTCGGCGTCGGCGTCGTCGTGGCGTCGCCCATCGGCGTCGCCATCGTCGGCGTCGGCGTCGGGCGTCGGCGTCGGCGTCGGCGTAGCCGCCGTCGCGGGGTCATCCGTCGCCATCGCCGTCGCCATCGCCGACACCGCCGTCGTCGTACTCGCCGTCGCCGCAGCGGTCGTTGCCGTCACCGCCCTCGCGATCGCCGCTGTCGTGGTCGACTTCGTCATCGCCGCCGTCGCCATTGCCGCCGAAGACGTCCTCGTTCCTCGTCGCTGTTCTCGTCGTCTCCCTCCTCACCTGCCCATCCCGTTTCATCACTGCGCTTCCGTTACTCACCCGCCTTGTCCTCCTCCACCTCCCCCCATCGTCCTCCCTCATCCTCATCCTGCACATTCCCCCACCTGAATCACCTCCTCATACTCCCATCCCCCGTCCGCCGTCCTCTTTCTGCTGCTGCTACTGCTCCTCCTTCTCCTTGCCATCGCGCTCTTCCTCGTCGTTCCTCCGCCTCCTTGGTTTCCTCTACGTGTTGGCGTTTCATCTTCTCTTCTTCTTCTTCTTCTCCTTCTTCTTCGTTTTCTTCTTCTTAATACGTAGCACCCCGCAAATGCGGATAAGAATGAGGGGGCGGGCGCGGGCGACGCGGGCGTCAAGCCGGCGGACCGCCGCAGGCCCCGAATTTTTGGCTTGTTCAGTGAACGTAGTTTTGGTCGCGGGTGGGTCGCGGGCTCTCCACCTCCACCTGGAAAGAATTCAAAAAACAGCCCGCTGCAGCCGCCGAAATTCTGTACACTGAACGCGGTTTGGGTCGCAGGTTCTCCACCTGGAACGAATGCAAAAAAAACCCGCCGCAGGCGCCGAAGTTTTTGCTTGTTCAGTGAAGGTAGTTTGGGTTGCGGGTGCGTCGCGGGCTCTCAACCTCCACCTGGAAGGGTTTCAAAAACAGCCCGCCGCAGGCGCCGAAAGTTTTGATTTGTACACTGAACGCGGTTTGGGTTGCGGTGGGTCGCAAGTTCTCCACCTGGAACGAATGCAAAAGAAGCCCGCCGCAAGCGCCGAAAATTTTGGGTGGGTCGCGGGGTGGGTCGCGGGTGGGTCGCGGGTGGGTCGCGGGTGGGTC